GTTACATGGCGGGCAAGGTTGGATGGAAAAAAAAAAAAAAAGAAAAAAAAAAATATATATATATATATATATATATATTAAGGAGACAGATCACATTTTAGAAGGAGAAATTTGGAAGGAAAATCACAAGGACAAAATTGGTAATAGGCATTTTACATTGTACACTACATATCACTGTATAAAAAACGATAATTTTGAGGCATCAGCCAAAAACATTGTCCTGAAATAAAAAATATAAATATAAATATAATGAAAAATGCATAAAGAAATATGACTTTATTATTCGCTGTTTATAGTGTTTATCTTGCATTGTAGCTTTAATTCACAAAATGACCACAAAAACCTACAGATCTTGGATCAAACATTTTCTGTCACTCATGAGAAAATGAAGAACAAAAGAATTGAAGGAACATAAGTTCGTTGATCACATCAAGCCTCAAACATAGATATCTAAAATTTCCCTTTCACTTATCTTTGATCTTATCGAAATAATATAAATCACAAACATTGTCGACAGGATATAAATAAGAAATTCAACAATAAGCTGTAAAAAACATCATTAATCCCACGAATGTCTCTCATTAAAAAAAAGCTTTTCTTCTATATTATATAGCATCGCATCCCAACAATCTTTGAGAATTGAGATCAGCATAAAAACCCCCAACTACCATGTTTGTCACAAAACTTATTTTAATAACAACAAGACATCTACATGCCAAAGTGGCAAAACCAAGAACTGGATCAACCCAGAGTTGATTTTTAAAAAGCAAAATAAAAATGCAAACCTTATTTTCCCACCCACAATGTCCATAACTAAAAAACTGAGAATGAGCAAAACACAAGAGAAGACTCAGCAACAGCTTTTCCAAATCCTAACTCAGTAGTGACCTCAACAACACAAGCTGACCTCAAACTCCACATGCAAATGAGAAACAGCAAAATTCTAACTTCACCACATGGATTCCACACACAATAACATAAAGCAAAACACAAGATAAATAGACAAAAGAAAGTGCAAAAGAAAAGTGACACCCCCAAAGGGGAGAAAATGGGGAAGATAAGAAGGAAAGTAAAAAAGAAAGGATAAGGCAGTAAGAGAAAGAGAAAGAGAAAGGGTACTATAGAGAAGTACCTTTGGGATCTGGTAAGGTATGAAGAAGCAAGTACTTGAAGTGTTGGGTTCAAGTTAAGCATGTCTCCTCTCTTGAAACCCCAACCCACACCCCCACCACTAATATCTACTGAAGATTTCTCTCTGTCTCAATATGTATCTAGAATGATCCTTCTCTTTCTCTCTCTCTTCACTTCTTTGGCTTTGGTGAAACAAAACAAACACAACCACGACCAAACCCATTCATTAATACTAGACTCAGAAACAACCAACACTAGGTCCACCATCAATGTCCTCACTTTCTCTCTCCTTACGTTTGTCTTTATTCTCATTCTCATATTTCACGTCCTTTTCTCACTGGGTCATGCACACAGTTCCTCAACCCTTGGGCCTTGGGCCTCACTTTTCATTATAAAAATGTTTGGTTTCAATTAGAGAGAAGAAATATTATATCAAGAAAAATATTGATGATAATCCATTTTTTATTAATTAATTATTAAAAAAATTAATGTTGATACATCATAACATCAACAATATAAAAATAATAGTCTTACATCAACTGATCATATATCATTCTTGACATTACTTTTTATTTATTTATTATAAAATTAAATACTCACCTAAAATCATAATTTTTTTTACATGACAAACTGAAACTACAACTACTTTATATCATAAGACTATGAAAAATATTTAAACAAGTTATTCTTGTCATATTCGTAATTTAATCTATTAACTAATATATGTCACACTATCAAGTTTATTTTTTATTTTTATTATTAAGTATTAAATTATTACTTTATTTTAATTTGATTTCTAGTTTTAAAATTTCTAAAACAACTAGAAAAAAAAATAATCAGTAATATTTTTTCTTAATTTAAATTTTAAATAATTTTTATTTTATCGATAAGAATTACAGTGACATGTCAAAACTAATTATGTATATATTATTCTAACATTTTTATGGAAATTTTAAGTAGATTTATTTCAAGATTAAATGCATTTTAGTTCCTGAATTTTTGTCAATTTATGATTTTAGTCTTTGAATATTTGATTTAAATTCCTAAAATAAAAAATTCTATAAGCAAAATTTTTTAATTCTAGAGACCAAAATGATTATGGGAGAAAAAGTTCAAAAATTAAAAGTGAAAACTGATAAAATTTTAGAAATTAAAATTAATAATAAAAAAAAGCTGTTCGATGAAAAATAAAAATTAATAAAAATTTAATAACTAAAAACATATTTAATCTTTTATTTTATTTTATTTTATTTTCATAATTTTTAAAATAAAATTTAATTGTGTTTTATCCTATATATTACAATTATACAATTTTAGCTCCTAAAATTTTAATTAAATAATTTTAATATCTCAACATTATAATAATTTTAATTTTTTAAATTTTATTCAAGTAATTTTAATTTTTTAATTATCACAATTATATGACTTTATATCAAGTATCACAATTAAATGATTTTTGATTAATTTAAATTACATATACTATAATTTTTATTCATATATTAGATACAACATTTATCTTTATTAAAATTAATAAGTTATATAACTTAAATAGATAAATATATATATATATATATATAATATTTAAATAATTAAAATTATCTAATTATGATACTTTAAAAATTAAAATTATTTGATTAAATCTCACAAATCAATATTATACAATTACAATATTTAAAAAATAAAATTATTAAATTAAAATTTGAAAAATTAAAATTGGACGAGGGTAAGTTAGCAGCCGCCCTTGACTGTGGAGGCTTCTCTCACGCGCCATAGTACACGCGTGGCAGAGAACGTAGAATGAAAAATATGTGATGATGGAAAAGGTACCGCACGCTCTACTTACAGTGTTTCATGCAACTCAAGTTTTTCAGAAAACAAGACATCTTTAATTAATTCACCTTCTCAATCATTTTAATTTCAAACATGTCCCTACATACACTACATATTACTAACAACTAACAACTACTAAACATACTAAATTAATCACCATAATAATATACTTATTTTTAGAATGGTTAATTAAATAATTAATATATTTATCATTAATTATAATTAGAACCGTTTTTGTTTAAATATTAATTTTAAGATATTTAATATTGTTTGAATGTAATAAAATAATTAATTTTACTTCTTACATAAGAAATTAGTTTTATTAAATTTTTCTTAAAAATTTATTATAAGTTTAAGATTTTGGAATATATAAAAATATTTTTATTTATAAAATTAC